GGAAGAATCCAACTCCGAGTCGTTGAGAGCGAACCTCGACCTGATAGATGAGCACCGGTCACAAGCCGAGCTCAGAAACGCAGCATACAAGAGGCGAAGCGAGAGGTACATCAATTCCCAAGTCAAATCGCGCTCATATCAGGTCGGCGACTTGGTGTTAAAGAGGGTAACGGGGCCAGACCCCGGACCACTGAAGCCGAAGTGGGAAGGTCTCTACAAGATCAGCGAGGTCCTCCCACACGGGGCCTACCATCTCGAACACCTGGACGGCACCCCCCACCAATACCCGTGGAACTCAGCATTTTTGAAAAAGTTCTACCAGTAGGTCTAGGACAATTTTGTATTTTCATTTTGTAATTTTACTTTGTAAAGGATGAACGAACCTTGTAAAGATGTGTGATATTTATGTATTTGCGTTTGCCTTTAATAAGTATAGGTCAAGTCGAAGCGGCGTAACTAACGTAAGGAACGAAGTGTCGGCCAGGATCAGTACGATGACCTGGTCGGCACTAGCTGGGCTCAACTAGGAAGCCCAGTCACGCCAATAATATCACCGAGTCCGAAAACGAGACCGGTCCGGTAAGCTGCCACATAATTATGTGCAGGTCGAGTCAGTACGATGACCAGGCCGGCACGAGCCGGGCTTGACAAAGTAGCCCGGTAAGGCCGCAGCGCCAACGTAAGAAATGAACGATGAGCTCAAACGCGAAGCCCGACATGGCCAAACCATCGCCCGATCCCGCGAATGGATCGGAAAGGTAATGCGCCAAGTAAATAAAAAGTGCCGAGCCCAATCTCGGGCTCGGCCGTGTAAATAAAAAATGCCAAGCCTAATCTCGGGCTCGGCCGTGTAAATAAAAAACGCCGAGCCTAATCTCGGGCTCGGCCGTGTAAGTAAAAAGTGCCGAGCCCAATCTCGGGCTCGGCCGTGTAAGTAAAATGTGCCGAGCCCAATCTCGGGCTCAACCGCGTGAGTAAAAAGTGCCGAGCCCAAGCTCGGGCTCGGCCGTGTAAATAAAAAGCGCAAATAAATAAGTACACAGCACGACACCAAGCCCATACTTGATCGAAAATCGCAACAACGCATAAGCAAATACGCATAAAAAATCCAATCATTCAAATGACACCCATTCATACTAAAGCAACATTCATTCAAAACGAAAAATTAAAAGCATTCATAGATTAAGTTTTTTCAAAGCGGCTCGCAGGCCAAAAACAATAAAAATATTCGAAACTAGACCACAAGTGGTCGACACAACGGCTCGCAGGTCGGGAAAAAATTACCGGCTAAGAGAAGGGTCGGAGGCCGGATCCGCAACAACCGGACCAGAAGGCTCTGGCTGCACCCCGGCATCCTTGGCGGCACATCACCGCCACCCTGGACGGCACCGCTCTCGCCCTCAGCTGCACCCGAAGACCCGGCCTCGTGGTCGTGCGTCCCCCACAATATCCGAGAGGGGTCGGCCTCATCAACAAAGTCCCGGCTCGGCAGTAGGAATGACGTATAGTCAGAGAGGACCTCACCCGGCTTCAGCTCGCCCTATCCTGGTGGACATGGGCCACCTTCTCCTTGCCCGGGGCCGAACTCGCCGCCTCGGCGCCTTTCTTCTTCTTGGCGGCGGCCTGACTCTCGGCGCCGCCGCACTGAGCAACGTCGTCGGCTGTGATCGGCTCCTCCCTGGCCCAGCGCCTTGTCATGCGCGGTTCGGGCGCTGGCACGCGCGGGACTTGGCGAGCGATAGGGTCCGCCCCAGGTGCCGCCGCGACGGTCACGTCGGCGGCCCCTGGTGCCGGCTTCTGGTTGAGCGCCTTCTTCTTCGCCAAATTCAAATGGCCTGACATGGCGGCTTTGGTCCTGGCTTTCAACGGATTGGGGTACTTGCGTCGGTATTTGTTAGCGGCCTTCGCAAACTCAAACCCTTTCGAGCGAAAGATGGGATAGAAAACTGAGAATAAATGACGGTCAGAAACAAGACAGAAGCTGTCGACAATAAATCAGAGGGGTAATACGGTACCTGGCTGAAAGGACTTATCGATAATCACCGGGCTGAGGTTTTTGTCGAGCAGACTTTCCTCTTTCGTGAGTGTCGAGTAGTGCCGCCTTTCCGGGTCAAGTCTCAACAAGGTTTCGACTCTGGTGGTAAGAGAAGAGCTGAGTGCCGGGCTCGCGCTGCGGACTGAAAACGTAAATTATGACCTGTTAGAACAAAAAAGAGGAATCAGTAGATGGCAAAGGAAAAAGAGATAAGCTTACTACCATGAGAAATAAAGTGAGTAGGTGGGTGCCGGGGTGCGTCCTGGGTCCTCCAATCGCCGCCGACCCAGAACCATTTTGGCAAGTAGCCGTGAAGAGTCTCCGGCAGCTTGGCTACCAACGTCTTGTCGACACCCGGTAACACCGAGCTGTAGTAGTTGCCGGAGTCACCCGAACGCTTCAAAGAGAACAAAGCTTTGACATTGTCGCCTGTAGAGTCGGGCCAACCTTGACGGCGGAACAAGACGATCAGGCCCACGAGCCGAGCAAACACCGTCGGCACATATTGGCTAATGCCGACCTCGAGCTCGCTGAGGATATCGTTCAATGCGCCGGGCAGGGGAAACCGGAGACCCAACTATATGCTATCTCGGTAGACCCCGATGCAGCCGGGCGGTGGACAATGAATCCGCTCCCCGGGATACGGTGCGAAGATCCGAACTCCGGGGCCGAAATTATACTTCCCCCGCATCTGAGCCAGGTCGGCATCGTCCAGGGCCGACTTCGTGGCCCAAGCCGCCACGTTGCTCGGAGTCGCCCAAACACGCGCAGGTCGGCACCAAAACCCAGGAGGAGCGACCGTCGCGGCTTCGAGGGCGGCATCGGTGGCCGCGTCCCCCAATCCCGTAGGGACACGCTCTCGACCCCCGATATCGCCCTGGAGTGTCTCGTCCACGAGGTCTTGGTCAACGTCGGATTCAGAGTTCAGAAAATCGATGTCGACTTCGTCTAGGTCGACATCCTCATCCCCACGCAACGAGGCCGGAAGAGAACGAGACTCGTCGGCACCATCGCCGCCGGAAGAGGTTACGCCCGTCGGCGGGTCCAGCCGAACCCTCGAGATCGGGATTGCCGCAATAACGGTGCCCGCGACCGAAGGCGACGGCTGAGGAACCGCATCCTCGACCCATTCGCTGCGCCGCCAGAGGAATCGCCGCCCTCGACCGGGAAGTTAACGTCAGCGGCGGGTTTCGGAGATGAAGACATGAGAAGGAAAAGAGAAAATCGAAAAGTAAGGCGGAAAGGATCGAGAAATTACCGTCGCCGGAAAAGCTCTGGGATGTCTGCCGGAAATATCGGGAAGAACTTGTGCTGGAGTCACGAGTTTCGAAGTTGCTAAAAAGTTCTTCAGACCTGCCAAAGTCCCCTATATATATATCTGACCTCCCAATGAGCTGCAGGCACGTGTACAAACGGATAAATACAAATTTCAAAATTCAAAATAAAAGATGAAACGTCCCAAGGAAGCCAACCGTCACGTCCTATAGCCAACCGTTACGTCCTTTCAAAATACTTGGCTGCCTGGCTGCCACGTGTTGCCCTCATGTGGTCGCAATTAAGGCGTCTCTTCGGTTGTCGTTCATATACACCAAGTGTAGTAAAGGTGCCGATCCTGGAAAAGACCGGATACGAGTCTGATGAACCCGGCTCGGATTCAACTGATAAGAGACGACCTCGGGAGAGGCACGGCAGGCCTCACCCGAACTTGGGGGCCTGTATGTTAATATCCGAGCCCGGCCCCTATAAGGATACCGGACTGAGAGATCATGAGTCGGCTGGTGGCCGGTCGAACCGAGGAGGCCGGTCACCAAGATTATTCGTAAGTGCTGAGCCGAACAGAAGTCAGAGTTAATAGAAATAGCGGTCAGAGTTGGACTCGGGGTCGGCACCTCGATTCCCCGCTTGCGAGGCCGGTACCGTGACTTCCCAGCTGCGAGGCCGATCTGACCTGGTGCCGAGATCGATAAAGGACCACGAACACCGGAGGACGACCAGAGACTGACGCAGTCCAGCTCAGTACCTTACCAGCTTGATCCTCGTGGGTTTTGAGGACCCAGAAGACAATTAAATAAGACCACTTGTCAACTAATGATTGCCGATGGGACACCCTGAACTAATCAGCAAGTCTATTGCACCTAGACCGGCTCAGGAGCAGGCCCGCATTAAATGCAGCCCACGCCCACATTAAATGCGTTGCAGGCAATGATTGGGAGATCCAGAAATTACTCCCAATCAGTCAGAGAAAGGTCGGCCCGTCCCGTCAAATTACTGTACGACAAGACCAGCGAATAGTACCTTGACAGTGCCACATTTAAGGCAACTATAAATAGCAGCCCACTTCATTTAATTTGGGTTGTTGAATCCCAACTGTCTGAACTCTTTCTACATTTTCTCTCTCTAGACTTGTAAGGAATTCGTGTAAGAATCAATAAGAACATCGCAAGTGCCAACCTCGTACGAGAGGCCGACCTCGTGATCTTATAATAAAATTATAATTAAACCATATTTCTTTGTATTTTCCCCGTTACCTTTCTATTATCTATCTTTTTAACCGTTGACCGAAAACGTCCGTCAACATAACTTGCATCCACGAAGAGCATGTGGGGATAAGCACAATAGAAAAATCGAGGTGCTCACCGCTATGCAGTAATTAATATTCAAATTCATAAAATAAAGCAGGTATGGTCGCAGTATGAACAAAAATCAATTAATATCCCATCTCCTATCCTAGAGTCATCCCTCATGTGCACATCTATATCAATAGACCACTGCTGGTTGAGTCCGGACAGGACTCGCCGGAAATTCGCAAGGTTGCTGCTGGTCGCGGTGGTTCACGGCAAAGGGCGGAGCGACGGTGGCTGGCATCTCGCGAGCGGGTGGTGAACGGACACCGGCGGGACTGCTCGTGGAAAGAGGTTCAGCGGCTGCTTCTCTCGTCTGTGGATCCTGCTGGTCGGGCATACAGTGGCAGAGGAGGCGGTGAAGGGTCGTCGACGGTGGCTGGGATTTTTTTATGGAGGCTCGACGAAAACTGTAATTGGAACAGGGCTCGTCTGCTCGACGGCGGAGGGCTGCGTTCTCGATTTGACCGGTGACGGCGGAGAGGGTCGCCTGCGATGGAAAGCTGAAACTCGTTGCTCGATCGACATCTGTTGTTCGAAGGTGGACTCGCCGGACGAAAATGGCGACAGATTTTTCAGGCGGCGATTCACGAAATCGAGCAGTGGGGATTGCAAAATTGAACTCGCGATTTGATGAAGGGAAATCGACCTCTCTCGGCCGAGATTTAAGAGATGAACGAGAGAGAGGTTGTCGAGCGAACGACGAGATTTTTCCCCCAAGAATCGCAGCAGATTAGAATTGGACGACGACTCGGTCCTGGGGGGAGGAGGTGGACTCACGAGTCAAAGCTCAAAACTAATGTGGACCAAAAATAAATTAATCAATTTGGGGCCAAGATAATACATGACATTGGGTCATAATAAAGAACATATCCCTTGGGCTAAAATTAACAATCAAGTGGCTGGATTTTAAATTTGATAACACGGTTCGGCTATCGGGCCTGACTACGTAGCGATAATACGGTTTTCACTCGAGCTTGATAGGTTAAATCGGATCGGCTCGCAATTTAAATCGCACAATAAATACATAACAGGATATAATATATTTTTATAATACACAAAAAATTTAAATTTTAAAATAATGATAATATTAGTAAAAATACAAATACACATTTTTAATTAAATAATAACATTTAGCAATTAGGCAATTAATTAATATTTAGACAATTAGGCAATTTGATAAATAAATCACATTCGACAATTAATAATTTATAGCATTCAATAAATAATAATAATAACAATTAAATATAAATAATAATAATAATAATAGAAATCCTCAAAAATTCCAACGTGAACAAGTATAACCATTAATAAATAGCTATACTAAACTTTAAGGAAATTGTTCATTTTTCGAAAACGCCTAGCTTGTGCTAAAGTTCCGGTTAATATCTTTCTAACTTCTTCTCACCATTTCTTATTTATGGCTTAAACTCATCATTTATCTTTGGGGACAAATACTTTTTCTAAGAGATAAAAACATATTAGCCTTTACTTATTTAACTTTTACATATCCAGATTACTCTTGCTTAACTTCAAAAATTCTTTCGAGAAGTTTAAATAATTATCCTGATATCTGGAATGTAATACTCATTAACTAATATCTTTTAAGGTTCGATTTCAAGTCTCCAGGTAAACTCGGACTTAATAACCCTTATTTTAGGTTTCCATAATTTTCTCGACTACGTGACTATTATATGTCGATACCTTAACCTTATACTCATTGATTTCTGAAAAGTACTTTGTATAGTTGTACTGTTACTAACAAGTACTAATACAAAATAACTTATAACTTAATCTCGAACATTGCCAATTTTTAGCTCATGATATCTAACTGATAAGATTTCAAAACTTCTGACTTATAAAGATTGACTATTTTCTGAAACTTTATTTCTACGGTTCAGTTTCAAGCCTACAGGATCTTATCCGGCTTTTGGTTCTTATTTCAAACCCCCATGATTTACCCGTACTTTTCGGCTATTATATATTGAAATACCGTTACTTCTGATACTTGGCTCAAATACATAATCAACCTTTATAGTCAGATCTTAACTCAAATCTTAATCTGATGGCTTAACTTAGAATGTTCGAGTCTCTTTCTTGATCTAGTTAACTTGATAAACTAGATTTCAAACTTTAATACTAATCTGAACATATAGACTGATTTCTAAAGTTCGAATATCTGAATTCTTATTGAGCATAGACTTAGTAAATTTGAATATATTTAAAAACTTTTATAAAAACTTTTAACAACACTTACCTGGTAGTCGGCGAGGTGTGAGCGTGGTGTGGTCGGTTTTCTTGAAATTCTCTGTAAAAACTTTGGCTTCTCTGAAAACTTTCTCTTTCAGAACTTAAACTTTTAGTATACAGAGCATTTAAAACTCTAGCTCTGATACCACCTGTAACACCCCGCTCATCAGAGTAAATTTTTCGCAACTTTTACTTTGAAAATACTTATAAATCTTTCAAAATCTTTTGCGACTAACTCGGGATTCTACTCAAACTCATCTTCTTGAAAATCTATTTTTCCTTACACTTTTGTCTAATACTTCTTTAGATATAAAGAAAATAGATTTCCTTTAAACTTGCATTTAACTGTACCATATTCATACTTCTCGAAATTGTAAAAACTTGAAATCTGAAATTCATTAAAAATGCAAGTTCAATACTTAATGTGCATAGTGGAAATACTTGAAAATGTAATTAATTATACAGACTGTTATAAATGTATATATAAAAGCTTTGTCATAATCTGAGTCCACGATCCACACCAACACTGCTCCACTCACACCTCCTCCTTAACCTGTTACCTGAAAATAAACTTATGGGGATGAGTAACGAATAAAGGTAATCATAAACCGATATCTTATCGGTATCTAGAAATCTGTTCTGGTACTAAAACTTAAACTTTTCTCTTCTCTTTCGATATCTGATCGGATACGTGTGCACACTCTGATGGATATTTCTCAAGGCAACTCAAACGGCCTCCATCAGAACTTAGGATATACTCTGAGACAACTGAATGCCTCCTCATCCCAAGCGGAAAAACATAAACTTTAGGATATACTCTGAGACAACTGATGGTCTCCTCATCCCATATGACATCAATATCGTACTCAATGTGATACCCATTCAAGGTCCCCACCTTTCTTCTTTTGAAAACTGTAAGTGTTGTTCTGTAGCTGTATCTGCAAGCTACATAAAAATATAAACAAATATACTAAGTACTATGCTCGTATTCTCAATAAGATTTAACTCTTACTTATCCAAATCTTAAAGATATTCAATAAGCTTAATATGTCTCAAATAAATATTAAGTCATCTTACATCTTAACTTTTTCTTAAAGTTTTACTCAAGGTTATTTACTTAACCTTATATAAATCATGTCTTCAAAATCATAGATATTGGTTTATACTCGCATGTCACGTAAATAACTCGAATGTGAAAATAACTAAATTTCACATTAAACTTGATTTAAAACATGAACTCAAAACATGCTTATCTTTTACTAACATCATCAACATGATTTATAAACTCATCTTAACTTAACTTGATCTTTTATTCAATCAAATACTTAATTCATCATACATCATATCTCCCAATTTTAGATATTGGCTTATACTAAATTTTCACTTAATTAAGTTGAAAGTGAAAATAAACTCAAGTCATACTTCAACTTTTAATCATAACATTTAAACATGATATTAATATGTCATACTTAATACAATCTTTATAAGATTATATACTCAACATATTAAACTAAAACTTTTCCAAATTGTTCATCACTTATATGAGAATTGATCATAATAATCTCACTTTAATAACTTGATCATACCATGAATATTCTTGCATATATACTCATTTTTACATATATGCCTTGTAATTATCATAACTCATTCATCTCTCCTCTTCAAATCATGAAATTTAACAGTCATAATCTTAACTCATAATTAGGTATGTCACAAAAATTTCATAATTTTAGCATGAATATCCATCAAGTTATTAAAATTTAAAGTCATAGTGAACATAAAATTCATCTTGCATATTCATCTTCAAAAATTCATAACTCAAGCTATACTTTGCTAAATCACTTGATTCTTGTTCTCATGTACTCCTCTTTTACATAAGAATCATTCATTTAAATCATACTCTTCCAGCTTATTCATATCTTTATCAATATCTCATCAAATCAAGCACATATATCGTATAATTGATCTTGAACAACTTCAACTCTTTATATTCATAGAATCAATTATGAACTTAACTTCTACATCATGATATACATACTTATAAACATGTAAACTCATTATCAAAACATGAACTTAAGCATGTAACATTAAGATAAGTAAATTACCTCCTTCTTGCTAGAATAAAAACTTGATTCTTTACTTCAAATTCTTCACTTCTCCAAAGTTTATACTACTTATCTCTCTTACACTCTTATATAACTTTTGATACTTTTCTTTGGTGTAAAAACTCTGAATTTTAGGCCTCTATTTATAGGCATAAATTGGCAAGACATCATAATGGAGTGAAGAAATGAACATAATAAACAATTTAAACTTATAAACTTAATTAATCACGCTATTTTATGATTAACTTGTATACTCATCAAAACATAATTAATCATCAAAATGGCCTCTGGTTGAGATCACAATCGGATTCTCAATGATCAAACCTTACTGTCGGCAACACGACTCGTGTGACCTCACACGACTCGTGTGGCTATGTCACACGACTCGTGCGGCTCCACACGACTCGTGTGACTTGTCACACAACTCGTGTGAAAAAGTCGAAGCTAACTTTCATTCATATCTCCTCCCATACGACTCGTGTGCCTTCTCACACGACTCGTGTGCCTTCTCACACGACTCGTGTGGCTAGTTCCTTATCAACTCTTAATTTCGAACTGATAACTGTATATCTTGGCCTCGAAATTACCTAAATCTTGGAACTAAAACTGTTACTTTCTTAATAATTTAGAGGGATATTACAGGTATCTCACCTCTATATATAGGGTTGAGCCTTATTATTTTAACACAATCTCTCATATTTCATTATCACTTTATACTTGAACTCAAGACTGACTTGAACGTTGAAGGCTCTTCACCGGAATATCTCCCGGTGTGAGAGTTTCGTGCAAGATCGAGACGGTTCTCAGCCGGTCGAAGTGTCACACCTGCATTATGTTAGAATAGAATACCCAGCATTCCAATCAGATTGGATACATTCTACTTGTAAATACAATTTATTGGAATTTATATTAAATAAAAGGCATTGCTTTATCTTATGTATTTGAATATATTTAGACATATGATAAAGTCCCTAGATCATTAAAAGCTATAAGGCATGGTTACGCATTGGATGGTAATCATGGAAGATGCCTTGAAAGCTTTGATCTTAAATAAAGTTCCAAGTCGATGGGTATTTCGAGATGGGATATTGAATAACCCGGTAAGACTTGCACATGTGATGTATGCTTGTTGGACAAGAATGTTGCATTCCATCAATATTAGCGTTGGACGCAAATACATATATGTTGGTGCTTGTTGGAGAACAAGTTCACTGAACATGACCCGATGAAAATTCTTAACTGGAAGTTTTTAACTGTCAAATAAGATTTTTTATGTTGC